ACCTACAACGTTGATGAACCCTTGTTGGCATCAGCAATACTTCTTTTTTAAAAAAAAAAAATTTGTGACTTTAGTATATCAATTAAAAATATAATAAATATAATTTTTATTATAAATTTATATTAAAAATATAAAAATTAAAATTTAGTTTATTAAATATATAATTAAATTTATTTATTTAATACTAATATTAAAATTAATATTAATTTTTATAATAAAAATATATTTTTAAGGCATAAATTAAAATAATATTTTTTTTGGGCCCAACCTTCCCATTGTTGCCACTATAGTAAACATTAACAATAACTCAATATTCGAATTTTTAAATAGATTATAAAGAAGATGCAAGGCTACTTATGATTTTCTTCACTTTAAGTGATAAAAGTTGACTCAGCTTACGTATCCAATTTAATCAATTAATTTCCACCCAACTCATTTAAGCCAAATTAGATCGTCGGTTTAATAGCATACTTGAATTAAAAAGTTTCCATTGCCTATTTTCAAAGATGGTTCTTTTAATCACACTTGACCTTTTCAACTTGATAACTTTATCATACTTGATAGATGCACCTCCAATTCCTTGAATTAGATTCAATTTCTCTTATTCTTAATTTGTAATATGTTAAAAAAAAAAAGTTTTGTTAATCTAGAGCGATGTGAAAATTGTCAAAGGGAGCCAATTCCATTCTGCAGAAAAAGAGCAGCTTGGTTAACATACATGAATTTGATGCTATAGAGAAATAGATTATATTGTTCAAATCAAAACACAATTTTTTTTTTTTTTGACAAGGAAAATACTGATTAAAAATTAATATTTGTTTAAGTTAATGGTAGAATCGAACTCAAATGAACTCCACTTACCCTTTATAAAGGAGCGTAGATCCTCTTAATCACGTAGAAAAGTTCAAATCAAAACACAAGTTAATTTGTCTATGAGAACATGCTCATATTTCAACTTCCCTGCCCGTGCCAGGCACAGTAGAGGGTTCTTTTAATATGTCTTTTTTAACATATTTTTTAAAAACATATTTAATATATTTCTGAAATGTTAAATTATAGAAAAAATAAAGTTTAATTTTAGCACTTAACCAATAAATTAATACGTGTAATATTAAAAATAAAATTAATATTAATTTTTTATTTTTCTATATATTTTAAGGAAACAGAAAAATTAAAACATCTTAATATTAAAAATATTAACATATTTGATAATTATTATATAATAATTTTTAAAAATTAAAACTTATACTTTTTTTATATATTTAATAATTATAATGAAATTTCATGACATTTGTAAGTCTAAAACATTCTAATATTCTTGTTTCT